GCTCTAGCCCACCTCCGAAGCTTTCCAAATCCTCTTGCAAAGCAGCTCTAAAGTGTCCTGCACCACATGGTTGGGAGCTGTCACAGCCATGGTCCTGCTCCTGGTACCAATTTCAAGCTTAGTCACTTTTTATTTCTCTTTTCTTTTTTTCTTTCGTTTTTTTGTGAGTTTGAGGGGTACAGTGGATTGAACTGGGGACCTTGTGCTTGCAAGGCAGACAGGAAAACTGCGTTGGAACTCGGGCCCCACTTTTCTTTCACTGAGTGACACTGCAACTTAGGAAGGAGAGCACTTTATTTTGGCTTAAATATGGCGTCGGTTCAGTCCATGCTTGGCCAGCTCTGAAGCATAAACAGCATGATGAGGGCCTGCAGAGGAAGCTGTCTCCGTCAGCAAGGGGACAGCAGTTCCACCCGACTCTGAGCACAGGGCCACAAAGTCCCGCCCTGCTCTCTCAGGAGGAGGACTCGCCGGAAGGAAGACAGCAGCAGGGCAGCTGCAAGGAAAAGACGCCCCATGTGCCCCGGCTTCTGTCTACAAGGTGAATGGGGAGCCCTGTGTGCACCTGAACCCACAGGGTCACCCCCAGGAGGGCCATGGCCTCAGCTTCAAGGTGACCTAAAGGCTCCTGACACCCAGGTGGCTTTGGCTTCTGGGTCCCCATGATGCAGCCCCCACTACACCATCCAGCACCTCACCAGGCTCCGCTCCCTCTGCTCCCTGAGTCCAGGCTGCTGAGGCCTCACCCACTGTGGGCTCAGACCCCACCTGGCCCCACTCTGGCCCCCTCTCTGGACACCTGAGCCACTGCCCTCCTTCCTGTGTCTCCCCTGCAGCAGTGGAGGCCCGCGCGAGAGACCTGACAGCACAACTGTCTGCTGCACACCTTGGGGGTCTCCTGCACCCCCTCCCTTGAAGTCACCTGCAGAGTTGGGCTCCCTCAGACCACACTCGGCGCTCCTGGGCTGTGTCTGCCACTGTGAGAAGTGCAGATGAGAGTGGACCAGGGCACGGGGTGCAGAGGGCGGGGTCTGAGGGAGCAGGAGTGAGCTCAGGGCTCTCCTCTCCCAGCAGCGGACACAGGGCGCTCAGTCCTCTCAGCACCACGGTGACAACCCACAGGGAGCGATGCCCACACAGAAGCCACCCGAGCCTGTGGCCCAGGGCTGTGTTGGTGGCCGGTCACTCTGACAGTGTGCACTCCCGTGACTGACCTTAGTCACTTCATCTACAGCTTCTACAAACATCAAACTGATGATTGGGGCCCAAGAGGTCACCACAAATGACCCTGTCATCATAGCTCAGATGGCCTGGCCTGCAGCTCCCTGGGGACAGCGATGCTTCTGCCCAGCAGGACGCGGCCAGGGCTGCAGGGAGAGGCCCCCTCCCCACAGCTGCACCAAGGGTCCACCCCGCTTTGGGCCAGGTGCAGCCTTCACTGCACGGCGCCCTCTGTCCCCTGGGCGCCCAGCACAGCGGCCCCACTGTGTCCACCTGAGTCTGAGCAGCCCAGAGCTGCCCGGGGCTGTGCAGGCTGGGCCAACCCTGCTGTCTGTGCTCCGCCCCTCCCCTGCGCACCTGTCACACCTGGCTGTTAGACAGTAACTGACCTGGGGGCCACGGTCCTGCCTGCTGTCCTTGCTCATTACTGCATAGGTGAGGGGCGTCGTGGGGTCTGCTCTGCTGCCCCGAGAGTGCAGGGCGGGCAGGGGAGCTGTGCCTCGGGGCAGCGGGGTGGACTCCGGGGTCCTGGAAGGACTCTACAGGTGAGGTGTGACAACACGTGTTTAGCCTAGGTTTATCCATCTGGGAAATGGGCTATCAAGGTCCTCCCAGGGGACTTCCTAGATTGTACGAAATGGGCATTCAGTTACCAAGAGGAAGCCATTATTAATAACAAGTATTTCTGCAGCGACTATCAACGAATGAATGAATGAAGGCCCATTGTTATGAAGAGAACGGAAGACCCCGTGCTCTGTTTCTTGCTTTACTTGGGCTCCTCCTTCCTCTCCGAGCCCGCATCACCCTCACACATGTCCTCCCCGCTTCCCTTCAGGGTCACAGCCTTGAGGACTGGCGAGGCCGCCCAGACTGCCCGGCCCCTGCAGCAGCAAGGACCGCCCCCCAGCTGAGGAGCCAGAGGATCGCTACACCACCCTCAGCTTCCAGCAGGACCCCAGCACCTCGGAGTACTCAAGCTGGTCAGCAGCAGTGCCCGGGCTTCCCTCAGACAGAGACCTGGGGAAAGTGTTTCCACCAGCCGAGCTCCCCATCACCAGGGCGCCAGCCAGCAGAGCGGCCTCTCCCTGACCCCAGAGCTCAGCTCCACCTGCAGCCCAGACTTTGAGCAGCTGATTTTACTCTTCAGTCTCCTCTGTCAAATGCACACAATAAACCTGAGTTCCGGGCTGTTGGTCTCAGGGAAGCCATTTCCACAAAGGGCCCTGGGCTGTGTCTGCAGAGAGCACCTCGGCTGCAGGCCACCCAGGGCTGCATTCCTGTGGAGACCCAGGTCAGCCGCCCTGGCCCGAGGAGGCTCCTGCAGGTCTGCTCTCACTCCCATCTCAAAGGCCCTGCCTCCTGCTGTCCAAACCCTGCTGTAGCTCCTCCCTTGGAGTGT